TATCCGTGTCAGGAATGCAGTGTTGTCCATTTTCCTTGGACGGTGTTTCCTTCTGGTCCATGTGCCCTATGGGGTTCGATACAGCCCGTACCCAAGTAACTCTGGCCCTAATGCCAGGTCTAAAGGCACGTGCTTAGCAGATTTGTATCTGGTGCATCAGATCTGGACTGCCTGGAAACCCCAAATGCACCATCTGGGGTTCCATCATGGAAGAAAAGCCAGATGGAAATGGAACGAATGAATCTCAATGCTGAGACCTCCGTCCTAGGAGGATCACTTGGAAACAGTGTGTATGAGACCAGTGGGACTTCTACACATGTCCATATCAAGGGCCCATTGGGCTTCTTGGTGCAGTCAAGGCCACTGACATCTCACATCAAATAATTCTTGAAAGGCTGGTGACACAGAGCGTTACTCGGCAGCCTGGAAGAACCCCACACAGCCCCTGTCATTTCTGTCTGCATTCTAAGGTTACACACATTCACACACACACAAAAGAACCTTTTTAGAGCTCTCTAGTACACACTAGTGAAATGAGGAGTTACAGTCCCACAGTGTGGCAGGTACTGGACAAATAGGCAATTTTAGCTCCACTTTTAGGTATAAACTGCTCCCACATGTTAAGAATCGATGCATTCCAAGTTCAGTTGAGGGATTTTCAGTGGAAAGGATCTCAGAGTGAGTGTTACTTTTTGTGGAATTTGTCCTCTGTCTACCAATTAAATGATTATTAATTGTAATTGCTATGCACTCGCTGCATCTGTGCAGTTAAGTGGAAGAAGACTTTAAGGGTGATTCCTCGCAGGAGTGACTCTATGGCTTTAATTGGGTGCTGGAGCACCCAGTGCTTCAGAAGCACCTTCATGTCATACAGCAGGGAAGGAAAAAACACTGGTCCTTTGCTCTCCTCCGAGAGCTTATGATGTGGCAGCCTTTTCTGAAGCGAAGCCAGCCTGGGCCTGGGCCTGGACGGTGTCTGGATGGGAGATCACTTAGGAAGGCTCACCTAGCGTTCCATCACAGAAAAAAATGCAGGATAAAAAATAAATGACTACAATAATACTGTGGTGCATTAATAATTCAGCGATATCTGATTATCGCCGAGGAAAGCGGAGATGGCAGCTGCCGCTGGAAAGCACAGATCTGCTGAATGCGGGAGCATTTGAAGTGGCGCACCGGTAATTTTTTTAAAAGCACTGTTAGCACCATAGACCTGGCTGATAAGACGCGATGCTGCCTTTATTGATGCAGAACGCATTTCTCTCTCAGTGGGTATTTGTTGCTTCAGTAGCAGGTTCCGGTAAAGACTGCAGTCGGTCTCGGCGCAAGGAGTGGCGGGGCCGCCAAGGGTTCTCCTTCCAGCTTTATTGTGGGTGGTCAGAGGAATGCAACCTCTGGCTCGATCATCCAAGTTCAGCCACCCTGCAGCTCATGCACCAGCTGGCCTGCCTCTCTTTGTCTGCTGCCTTGCTCTGACCACCTTTGTGCTGCAACTCCCTGTACGACGAACATGGCACATTGGTAGAATCTAATCAGATGTGAGCTGGCAGCAAGAGATGCTGTATTCTTCAGTCCAGACATTGCTTTCATTGTCCTCCTCTAACTCCAGGTCTGCACACGCCTAGAGGGAGAAAGAGGATGTCTAATGAAGACAGCTTTATTATGCACTGTGTAGCTCTCAGCCTTCTTTCTCTCCCTTCCAAATGCAACTCAAAAAAGATCTGTAAAAGTCACAGTGTGCTTGGCCTGGGGATTTTCCAAGAAGCCAAACCTAGGATTTCTTCTTGTCCCTTTCAAAATTAATTGCCTCCTCAGTTCAGGTAGGCTTAAAATACATCCTGGTATCTGAGGCTGTTGAGCAAAAGGTAGGTAATGTTTAAAAAAAACCTCCTTCTCTCCCCCTACCCTGCACTTTCCCCAGCTCTTTTGTGCTGAAGTTTAAATCTACAATCTGTTGAGAATGTAATGGGAAACCAGCCTACAGAAAATGCCATTATTCATATCATTCTTAGCTCATTTATTTTATCTGCAATAGCAGGGATAAGGCAAGCAGCTTGGCATTGCCGATAAGCAGGGGAAATATCTTAGAGCTATTTGTAAAAGTTAAAGCAGATCTTGGTACAGAGAGATAGTGGGAAGGTAGGGGGAAGGGTGCTGACAAGCTTTTTGGCAAGCGACTGAGCTGTAAGCTAATAAAGATTTTAATGGGGAGGCCTCATTAGGATTAGGCAGAAGATCTATTATCTCAGATTTACACAACATAAATGGTGAAGCAACTTGGGCTCCCCCCTCCCCCGCACCCGACCGCCTTTCTGTGTTCGCTAAATAGCACCGTAGAATGGAAAATCTTTTAAAATTCAATCGGAATCTCTCGTTGCCAGGAGCTATTGCCAGATGCTTGCTGAGGAAAGACAGAAGAATGGCCTAGGAAAGAATTGGAAGGGTGTCTGCAACGAAAGTTGCATCGCAGTCTGACTGCCACTTCCCCGGTTTGCAGTTTGCGCCGTGTTCCACGGGCAGCGACGGAGGTGGCGGCGATACGGAGCACTTCCACAGTGGCCCCCGTTTAGCCCCAATGGGCCCATCCAGCAAGCACTTGTTTGCTGTCTGCATGAATGTGGGATGAGCCATCTGATCCTGGTGGGCCGTCGTGGTTTGTAGGGCACCCTGGTTTACAAGCAGCTCTGCCTTCCCGGTTCAGACACCGTAGGGACTTTCGCTTTAACCAAGCAAGGAGTCTCTCTGGCAGAAGAGGAGAAGAATCCATCAGAGCAGCTTCTCTCAGGACTCTGTTGCAGTGGCCAGCTGTGCCCGAACCAGGCCAACGGTTGCCAGCCCCTTGGCAGAGAAGGGTCACAGCAGGTGCGCTGTGCACTGAACATCCTGGTTGAACTGCAGGGAGAGTGGAGACACTGGTCTGAAGTGCTAGAACTATGCTCCCAGGCTAGCAAAGACTGATGTAGACAACTCAGAGCTGGGCGGATTCCATGAAAGAGAGCGCGCACTCTGCTTTCGTCCCTTATCGACATGCTTTGCCATGAGTTAAATCACTGGATCTACCCCATGCACACCCGTGGTCCGATGCCCTTTGCCACCAGCCCCTCCCCGCTGTGCATCTCTGCAGTGGAAAATGCTGGAAATTTCATGTCACACAACTGTATTTGGCTCTGTCTCTTTCCCAGCCTCCATTCATGTGACCACGCGGTCGCCATGGGTGCCCCCTGGCTGACATTTTAGCCCTCTTGAACCATCACAGTACCAGCTTCTGTGGGCTAATTCTAGTGCCTGAGATAATTGAAAAGCTTTGTGTGAGTTAAGACGCATTGCAGCTTCTTCCTTGACGTGTCAGCTGTTGTTGTTTCTTTGCCATGCTCTGGTTTCTCTTCAAATCATGAATATCTTCCACCTTTCCCCTAACTCGTGTAGAGCTTTTACCACTGATGCTGGTTGCTGGTGAGATTGTGTGCGATGGCTAAGTCCAGCTGGGGCAGAGTTGTCAGGCTTCATTGAGGAATCTTCGTTTGTATAGAGGAATGTCTGGCCATTATTATACTTAAAAAACAAGCACCTTCCGTACCTTCAACTGTGGACTGCTTTGAGAGCTTTTAAATAAGAGTGTAATTTGATCTCTTGTGTAATATATCCGCCTTTTAACCAAGGGAGGTCCTTGGAGATACAGTTGTCTTATAAGGAAAAGAAATGCTTAGGAAAAGAGGAAATGTTTATTTAGCTTATCCTTAATATGATGCTGCAGGTGGGAAAGAGAAAGCAGGCCAGATATGACTGGAATAAACCAACCCCCCCCCCCACCTTTTTAATAATTGAGAGAAAGTTGAGCACCTGACGTTGGTGGTGGAAAATGTCCATTCCTCATTCTTCTGCAGCTTTGGCTCTTGGGACTGCTGCTCCTTGAAGTTTCCATCATGGTTATAGGTCTCCACACATTGGAAGAGAGCTAGAAGCACCAGACATGTAGGTCCCTAGGCAGCAAGGCATTTGCTTATCCAGGCACCTGGACAGTCTCTGCCCAGATTCTTTCTGGGACACTGGTGACTGATAAAGGCCTTACTCCCAACTCCACTGTTCTGCACAAATGCATTCCATGAAAGAGAACAGAAGTTGGGCTGGCAAGGTGGTAGGCGTGTCTCCTACCTTACAGAGCAGCCTCCTTTGTTTAGACCTGTCTCCTCCTCTGTAGAAGACCTCCCTCTCTTCAAAGGCATCTCAGAAGATAGTCCCCTCTTTGAAGAGGCCCTCTATTGGAAGGGCTGTTCAGTCCAAGTCTGGCTGAAGAGCAGCGGGGTCCTTGAAGTTGCTTGAGTTAGCCCCTGGACCGCAGACTGCGCAGGCAGACAGATCCCTTGGCCACAGTGTTCCTCACTCTGGCAAGAAGCATCTCCGTTTAAATCGGTAGAATTCTTGTCCATCGGCATCGACACATATATTCCTATTTAATGTAACCATGTACCTTACTTTTGTTTCGTCATGATGCATAAGCAGCCATCTCACAGTGGGGTCAGAGCTCTGGCTTTTACTGTAGTAGCATAGATAACCCAACGTGGGTAATCCAGTCTATTTTCTTGGCTGCATATTTGCAAGTTGTTCTGTCAACTTTTCACTGCATCAGAGAGACCTTCTATGATCCACACTTTGCCTTGAAAGCACGTGACATGGCAGCTTTAGTGAATCGAAGCCAAGCTGGGTCTGAACGGCACCTAGAATGGAGACCACCTGAAACGGAGACCATCAAACCAAGGCTGCCTTCCACTCCATGAGCGAGAGGCAGCATGAACATGTAATTCATAAATGTTATGATAGACAACTCCCAAAGGCCTAGGTTGCTGCCCGCCTTCTTGGAAAAACCCAGCTTTTTCATTAAATGGAGGGCTCCTGTGGATTCTATTCCATGCTCAACTCGCCCTTTTGCCACAGCAAAACTGAAAAAAAAATTTCTGATAAACGTGCTTGATTGTGAACAGAACTTTTTGTTTTGTCTGTAGAATTCAGCGGACCTGGAGCTGCCTCGTATCGGGAGTGGCTTGGTAGCAGCTAAGGTATGAGATCAAGTCCCCCCAGTATGGGCACCTGGGGCTCCTTTTTAGCTTGGGGTTTCTGGACTGAGTTGCAATCTCTCCTGCTTTCGCGTTTCATCTTCTTTCACTAGCTCTTTCTGTATTTTCTTAATAGCCATGTCCTCTGCTGTCCATCCCGTTCATTTCCCTACCCCTTCCTTTCCCCAGCTGTGTTGCCAAACCTCCAGATCCCTTTGTTAAGCTTCCAGAACACACATATTATGAACCAAAACGAGCTCTGGATCCAATCACTGCCTTTGCCAACTTGCACGGTTAGGGAAAGAAGGTGATCCTGGATCATGTTTGAAGACTGTGATGACTAGCTTTGGTGTGTGCGCTTGCGTGTGCGCAGGGTCCCTTGTTTGCCGGTAGTGCTGATCAGCTGATTCAGGCCCAAGACATGATATTTGGCAGTGGAAACATTAAGGGCTCAAGATGGCTTATATGAATTAGGGACCTGGAACTCTGCACGGTAGAAAGTCATTGTTTTCAAGGAAAACTGAAGGTGGCAAACTTTGGAGTTCTTAACTTCTTAGTCACATGTAACCAGATTATGCAGATTCTGCATGTACCATGTGCAGGTGAAGGGAGGACCCTACCTGGTATCTCCTACTGTGCTGTTTTTCATTTGTCTGCTTTTATTGTTTTGTTTGTGTATTTTTATGTTTATATATATTTACTTCGGGCTCAGTCAGACAGAAATGCTCGTAGACCCACAAATGCAGAAGATTATGGGTGTTCTAAGGAGAGTGGATGGCTCATGGAGGCAAAGAGTGCCTCTGTGGTTCTTCTGCCCTGGAAATCAGCTCAGTGACTGGTTTTGGCCATCCACCCTAAGCACTTTGGATGGGGAGAGGAGGAGGCTGGTGCACCACCAGGAAATGTTGCATTCTGGAGATGTCTGGCTCCTGACCTCTCAGCCCACTTCACCAAGGTCACTCTCGTGCCCTCAAGCGACCAGCAGGTGTGGGTTTTTCCACACTGCCAGCAAGGTGGGAAGAACGGTGATGCATCGTCGGAGTTGTTTTCTGTCTTGGAGCTGGGTCTCTAGAAAATCCTGCAGGCTTCATGTCTGGCAGCCATGCGATCGTTCTCTTGATGATGCTCGTGAACTGCTGTCGGGAATGAAAGGGCAGTGGTTCTTGGTGTGCGTTTCAAGGCCAGGCAGGAGGAGGAGAAGCAGCCCTGGAAACTGGCACTCCCAGACACTGAGATGGGAGAAGCTTATCTCAAGGCTTCCCCTGAGAATAGCGAGCATCTACAATTGCCGGGCCGGCATGGCACAGGAGCTCCATGAGCCAACCGAGTCTGGTCCACCTCTTGACCTTATGATGTGGTCTCAGGAGAGAGACACTAGCCAACTAGGGGAGTGGCGCGCAGAGAAGAGACTTCCCCACCTTCAAAAGGGCCTTCCCAGAGGGAGGGGGCCCAGGGATATTCCAAAGGAGGGAGTTCAGAGGTCGTGGGTCACTCGGGTTCAGCGAACCCCTCCACTCATGCTGCTGCAGCGATCGTGTTTACTGGAAGCACTTTACAAAGGAACGCTCTTTTGCCTTGAATGTGCGAAGGGGGAACCTAGCTCAACAATTACATTAAAAAGAAATTTCAGAGCAATACACAAACAATGCAATGGAAACCCATAATTGTCACATCAAAAAGGTTTTAAAGGCATGTCATAATTAAAATAAATTTAAAAGAGAGTGATTTATCATTTAAATAAATGCTTTAAAAAATTAATTTATTATCGCACCTTACTTCCTTCATGGAACTCAATCTCGTGTAGAGAAGATTCCCAGAAGGCAGTATCCAGGATCAAAGCTGTTTAATTTCATCAAGGCTGCTGCATAATTGATTGCCAGTTACAGTGTGGAGTCTTATCTGCCCAGGATTCCAGCTTCAGCCTTCCACCCACCTTAGTATTGGTTTTACTGCCCCCAACAGTTAGCATTCAATCCTCATTGGTCTCTTTTGGGTATCTACTTTTAGGGTCATTTGCCTCCGAAACACTTCTTGAAATTTTGCAAGCCTTGGAATTTCCCCAGTCCTGCTGACACCTCCTTGTTGTGCACAGATCGTGTGTTCTTGGCATGACATTCACCCCTGAACATTGGAAATAATAATTATTATTACTTGCATACCCCATCTGTTTTTCTCTTGCAAGAAATCCAAGGCAGTCCGTTCTGCCTCGTCTCCATTTTGCCCTCAAAACAGCCTGGCAAAGAAGGTTAAGCTGCAAGCCGGCGATTGGCTAAAAATTGCCCAATGAGCGTCATGGCTGAGTGGGGACTGGAGTCCAGCACTTCCCACTTCCAGTCCAGCGCTCCCTGCCCACAATATATTCCACTGGAGGAGAGGAGCTAGAGGCCATTCTGGGAGTTTCAGGGCCTGATTCTCACCTCTTCAGTGGTGCCTGGGAGGTGTGCATGCTAGAAGACTTCCTCTGAAGGACACAAGGGCTTGGCAGGGTCTTTCTCTCACTACTTTTTGTCTTAATGTAATCACGATACCATCACCAATTATAATTTACTCCTGCATTCTTGTCGGCTGCGTCTGCTGCAGCGACTGTTTCGCAGTGTTTCGATAAGGCGGGGGAAGGACGAAAATGTGGAAAGATAGCCGTAGAATTATCGAAAAGGGAAGCTTGTTTAAATGGCGTGTGCTCATAAAACCTCACTTGCTGCATCTTTGATTCAAAGTACATCTGTTGTCGGAGAGCAGGGGCGTGCTGATTGCCCAGCCGTAGCAAGAAAATTAAACCCAGCAAAAACAATAAAACAAAGGAATCTTTTGTTCTGCTTTTCTGACAATAACGTCGGAGGGTCACCGTTTCGGCTGACAGCGGCCCTCACTCTTGTGTTGCAGTCACATGTTCCAGGTCAACAGGAGGGCGAAACCTTGACACTGTTAACTGATGACTGTAACTAGGTTAGGATAATTATTTCCCTTTATCTCCTTGCTGTAAGCACATGATAAATGGAATTCTGGGCTGAAAGGAACATATTTTTCCTGACCAGCTTATTAATACAGGCTTATCCATTTGGTTGAATCTGGTGTCGGGTGCGTTGAACCTTGTGGCCAACCGAAGAATTACAGTACTCAGCTCAGCCCTGGAGGAGGGCTGTGCTAAGGAGTACATTTCACAAGTGTGCCTCTCACAGATAACATGTGTCATCTGTGGTTACCTGACCTGTGGCTCTTTCAGTGGCATTTCTCCCTGTGGGGAAGCTGTGATGGTCAGTGGCATCCTGAGACTTCTGCTCTGCTTGGAAGTGCAGCAGATTTCATGGGCGGGTTTCATAATAGGATGTTCCGTCATGTTGGAAACATCCCTTCTCCTGAGCAGTTCCGTTGTCGGTTCATTGGTACTCATGTCCCTGCCTTAGATGGTTCATGCTCTTCACTGGCATCTCCTGCAGTCTCTTGACCCTTGAGCTTATGCATCAAAGAACCTGACAACTCCTCCTCAACCTGTCAGGTTGTGGCACAGGCGGGTCAGGATGTGATACTCCATTGGGTCTTGTCCTAGTCCCGAGTGTAGAAAAGTAAAAGGGAAACGAAAACAAACAGAAGACATCACTCACCAGCTAGCGGATGTTTTCCCAAAAATGTGAGCTGAGTCTCATATAGGGCAGTAACAAACATGGCCCAAGAAACCTGGTTCCATCATTTGAGTGCCTTGTCAACAAGGAAGCCAGAGCCAATCCCAGCTTGTTTGAGGCTAATGTTCCATGTTTTTAAGGGTGCAACTGAAGTATAAAAACAATGCCAGTCTTGGGTTTAATAAGAGAAGGGCAGTCTGTGAGAAGACACTGAGAATATAACATTCCTGTCAGAGAATTCTGGGTACAGTCAGGAACGAGGGAATTCATAACTTTGGGCTTGATTCAACACTGTGATGTTAGCATAAGCACTGAATGCAGTTAGCATCTTCCTCTTACAATGCGAAGTATGTGGAATTTTTCCTGATATGTGGATCTTTCCTGTGGTTAAAAACCAAAATGAAGTGCTGGAAGCCACAGATTTCACTGTAGACGAGGTCATGTGCCAGTGGGTTGTACACTGGGGAAGAAATATGCTTGGTTCTGCTAGCCAGTCCAAAATAAATAGGATTTCTTGCATCAACTGTTCTGTGCTTCATTTAAAATGGTAATCCAAGTTAATTGTGACATTAATTCGCAGTTCAGAAAACATCCTATATAACCCCTCCCCGACAAAATGCAAATCGATGCCAACAGTTTGGCGTGTTTGATTTTTTAAACATATATATTCTTTACCATTTTAATTTGCAGCCTTTTTTACTGCAGCTGTCCTTCTTGTAAACAGAAGTATGTGTGTTGTCTCTTAGTAGAGGGTCTGTACAGAATTGTCTGAAAGATTCTGCAGCTCTCAATAAAACGGGATACCTAGCTCTTAGTCTGAAGCATCTAACTGCTTGAAACTGTCCTTTCAGCGTGTTTATGGCAGTTGCCTGTTCAGTGACAGTCTGCAAGACCTTGTTTTTACATAAATAGGATCCAGCCATTAGGTTTTGCTTGCCTTCAGCAATAAACATGTTTTGCAAATCTATCCTGCATGGCGCTGTGGCACTTTCGGAGTATTTTGAGCTTCAAGCTCCAGTGAAATGTGACTGCCACAACTTCCTTTTATAACAGCTTGCTCGTCTCCCAGAAATTATGCCATAATGATGTTTGGTTTATATATTTTACCCTTCTCCTCATTAAAGTGCTATCTTTTTGGAAGAGACGCTTTGTGTGTTGAAATATTATGTGGTTAAAATGAAGGCAGGTTTATAAGGATTTAATGTACTTGGGAGCCAAGGTTTTGCAGCTTTATGGCAAAGATGTTGTAACAAAGGACTTTATGGGTAAGGTGTCCTATATTTTATCTAAGCAGTTGTTCAAGGAAAAAGAAATCTTGAGCAACAGTGTCCTGGTCAAAGAGGAGAAACTCTCTGAAAGAAATAGTCACCTCTGCTTCAAATG